ATATATATATATATATATATATATATATATAGGTTTTAGCCCAGGACAAAAAGTTACTAGCCAAAGTTTTAAGCTTCCTAAACCGACTTTTAAAAAGATTAATGGAGTAGATTTCTTGTATTTTTTTTAAAAAAAATAAAATGTCTTTAAAAGGGAAGGAAGGGGATCAAAAACTACGTTTTGAAGGGCTGTTTTGTGTGGATTTTTTAATGAGAAGAGGGGGAAAATATATCTTGTTTTGAAGTTGGAGGGGAGGGAAGAGAGAGATCTAAAGGAACCGTTCTGGAGAGACATTTAACAGTTTCCAAAATCTATATCGCTGCTTAATTAAATATGTTATCCTGTTTATAGGATCTGTGGCTAATTATTTAGAGTCATTTAATCTACCCAATTTGCACGTTAATTAAACAGCACCGAGTTGGAAAAAAGGGGCCAGAGAGTGGCACAGAGGCTTTAAAGGGGAGGCAGCGCCCCCTAGAGGCTGCCTCGGGCTCCTGCAGCATCAATTGCAGCACTGTTTGTAAAGTTTCCCCATCCCTTATTTTTGCAAATGGGGGGGAGAGAGGAAGAGCTGCCTTATTAAGATGGTACCCATAACTACATAGGAGACCAGTGTTGGATTCTCAGCTCAGCCATGAAACCCACTGGGTGACCTTGGGCAAGTCACACTCTCTCAGCCTCCGGGGAAGGCCACGGCGAACCTCCTATGAACAAATCTTGCCAAGAAAACCTCATAAAATCAAGGCCAACAAGGAGTTTCCAGTTCCAGGTCACAGAAATGCAACAAGGAGGGTGGGATGGATGGATCAGGGGACCCCAAACTAGGGACCTCTCAGGGGTCAAGGGGCAAAGAAGGAAAGAAGATGCCCTGAAAACCGGGGAGGGAACCACGGCCTTAGGTTTGCCATAAGACAGAAACAACTTGGAGGCACACAAACAACAACTTATCCTGTAGTCCCTAGAAAGCCATTCATAGTTGATTTACCACAGGCCTTAGGCCATGATCCGATACACATTTGCAGAAGGTAAGGACCACTGAAGTTAATAAGCCTTCCCTTAGTGTAGATGTGGGTAGGATGCTGCTCTTTACTGTGTCTTGGGACCCAGAGTAACTTGGCAAGGGGAAGGTGGTGGCCCCAATGTCACTCTTATTGTTGTTGTTGTGTGCCTTCAAGTCATTTCTGACTTATGGCGGCCCTAAGGCAAATCACTGGATTTGTCTAGAGAAGGTTTGCCATTGCCTTCCCCGGAGGCTGAGAACATGTGACTATCTGTTGATGCAGACCAGGATTGCATTGGCTTTTTTTGGTGGCTGCATTCACTATTGAGTGTCAGCCTGAACATGAAAATGATCTCTCCAAGGTGCTGAATGCAACCTCCAAAAGTAAGTTCAGCACCTGGGACAGTTCCTTCAAAGTTAAGTAATGTATTGAAATGCAGAGCAGCTTCGGCATCCTACTGACATTAGCAACTAGGCTAGATAGACCAATAGTCTGGTCCAGCATAAGGATGCTTCCTTTAAGGATAGATAGATAGATAGAAGGAGGACAGTGAGGACTAGAACCTTAATATTTCCAAGAAATGCTCTTAATTCAGAGACAGACATATTATAGGCATAAGAAGTTCCAGGTACTAAGGTCCTTGGCATCTCTAGGTTCAAGGATCACGATGCAGATAATTGTGTAAGATCCTTTTTCTATTGGCCAAGGACCTTGGAAAATGGCTGCCAGTGAATGCAGGCGTCTCTAGATTGGACAGTGGACATCCTTTGGGCTGGTTGCTGTTGTTGTGTGCCTTCAAGTCATTTCCAACTCATGACAACCCAACCACAGGTTTTCTTAGGAAGATTTGCTCAGAGAGGAGGGCTTGCCCTTGCCTTCCTCTGAGACTGAGAGAGTGTGACTTGGCCAAAGTCACCCAGTGGCCTTCCAGAGCCAAGCAGGGCTTTGAACCCTGGTCTCCAGAGTTGTAGTCCATTGCCCAATGCCACACTGCTTCTCCTTTGTGGTATAGTGGTTTGAGTGTTGGACTATGACTCTGGAGACCTGGATTGAAATCCTGGCTGGTCATGTAAGCCCATTGGGTGCCCTTGGGCAAGTCACACTCTCTCAGCCTCAGGGAAAGGTCATGCCAAACCTCCTCTGAACAAATCTTTCCAATAAAACCCCATTATACAGTCACCTTAGGGTTGCCATAAGTCAGAAATGACTCGAAGGCACACAAAAACAACAAATTGGTCTTTTCAGAGGAGCTTTGCCATCACCTTCCCCTGAGGCTGAGACAGTGTGACTTGCCCAAAGCCACCCAAGGGCTTTCCCTAGCCAAGCCAGGCTTCGAACCCCGGTCTCCAGCATCCACTGCCCAACCCACTATGCCACACAGATTCTCCTTTGGGTCTGAACTAGATGCAAACTGGGCTGCAAAAGCGAAGGCCGAGGAAAGAAAACCACCCAAGAGAGACCACTTAAACTCAGATGGGGACCCTTTCGCAGCAGCAGAGGCAGACGCAGACGCAGTCGCAGGGCCTG